CGCCCCCCCTTGAAAAAAAAACACGGATGTTTCTAGGGAAAGCTTGGGACGCTGTGGGAAAAAGGCCCCCGGGTCTTATCGGCAGAGAAGCTGACAATTCATATGGCTCCGAATGGTAAAACGTAGGGTTCCGCATGATGGAAAACATGCGGCAGTGTATGGTACACCGCGAGGTTGCATGCAACAAAACAAATAGCGACGTATGACACGTACGGCCGTTGGTAAACTTTCGCAAACGAGTCCCTCTTTGGCATAGAGCGCCACATGGCGCCATAGTGGGGGCAAACGATTATGAAAACATCTGGAGCGGGCGATAAAAACAATTTGCCTGGCGAAGGACCTACGCAGCTGTGAATACCGCAGTCATGAATATCATCTTCGCCCGCGCTCCTTTTGGGGGCACGAATCATGTGAGGGGCGTGCCGACATCCGCGGCGGGGCACACAACGCGAGCGAAGACGATAGGTCTGTGTGCGAGAGACTCAGAGCGAACGATTCTGATTGTGGATGAGTCTGCGCGCGCGTGTCTACATGCGTAAATGTCGACGCCCATGTCGGCGCGCCTCTCACGAGGATCGCGCCCGCTTCCTTCCCGTTATGTTTCTCCCTCTTTGCCCGTGCACGCCCACGTCCAAGGCTGCGGGCGCAGCGCCGCACGAAGTCCCCGCGACGCGCGCTGGTCGCCCCGAAAGGGTCCTGGCGACGCGTGCGGGTCGTCCGCTGCGCGGAGCAGGGAGAGCGAGCAGGCTGGCTCCCGCCCGGGATGCGCGGCCCGGAAGCGGCCTCAATACGTCGAGTGGGACGAAATACTTCCAGAAATCGAAAGTCGCCGCCATGCGAACTCCGCCAGTGGGCCGCCATGCGAGCTCCGCCACGGAGACCTTAAGTGGAGCTCCCTGTGGGGACACGAATAGCTGTACTGGGTGGTGAATGACGCATGCGGGCGGTATCACTGGGGCCTTCGGTGGAGCCCCCTATGGGGCCACGAAGCGCTGTACTCAGTGGTGGATGACGCATGGAGGCGGTCCCACTGGGGCCTTCGGTGGAGCCCTCTATGGGGCCACGAAGCGCTGTACTAGGTGGTGGGTGGCGCATGCGGGCGGTCCCACTGATGCCTTCGGTGGAGCTCCCTATGGGGCCACGACGCGCTGTACTGGGTGGTGGGTGACGCATGCGGGCGGTCCCACTGGAGCCTTCGTTGACGCCCCCTTATGGGGCCACGAAGCGCTGTACTGGGTGGTGGATGACGCATGCGGGCGGTCCCGATGGGGCGTTCGGTGGAGCTCCCTATGGGGCCACGAAGCGCTGTAGTCGGCGCTGGGTGACGCCTGCGGGCGGTCCCACTGGGGTGTTCGTTGGAGCTCCCTATGGGGCCACGAAGCGTTGTTCTGGGTGGTGGACGACGCATGCGGGCGGTCCCAGTGGGGCCTTCGGTGGAGCACCCTATGGGGCCACGAAGCGCTGTACTGGGCGGTGAATGACGCATGCGGGCGCTCTCACTGGGGCCCTCGGTGGAGCCCTCTATGGGGCCACGAAACGCTGTACTGGGTTATGGATGACGCATGCGGGCGGTCCCACTGGGGCCTTCGGTGGAGCTCTTTATGGGGCCACGAAGCGCTGTACTAGGTGGTGGGTGGCGCATGCGGGCGGTCCCACTGATGCCTTCGGTGGAGCTCCCTATGGGGCCACGACGCGTTGTACTGGGTGGTGGATGACGCATGCGGGCGGTCCCACTGGAGCCTTCGTTGACGCCCCCTTATGGGGCCACGAAGCGTTGTTCTGGGTGGTGGATGACGCATGCGGGCGGTCCCACTGGAGCCTTCGGTGGAGCTCCCTATGGAGCCACGAAGCGCTGTACTGGGGGCGCTGGGTGACGCATGCGGGCGGTCCCACTGGGGTGTTCGTTGGAGCTCCCTGTGGGGCCACGAAGCGTTGTTCTGGGTGGCGGATGACGCATGCGGGCGGTCCCATTGGATCCTTCGGTGGAGCTCTCTATGGGGCCACGAAATGCTGTGCTGGGTGGTGGATGACGCATGCGGGCGGTCCCACTGGAGCCTTCGGTGGAGCCCCCTATGGGGCCACGAAATGAGGGAGGAACGGGAGGAGGAGGAGGAGGAGGAGGAGGAGGAGGATGAGGAGAAAGATATTATCGCCAAAAGCACATGCCTGTGCTTTTGGCAATAATATCTTTCTTGACCCCTTCTCTCTTCTCCCTGTCCACCTTGAGGGTTTAACTCAGGAGATCGGAGCCCTGGAAGGAAGTGGGAGGTGCAGGGGTGATCACTTGCACTGCAGCTGTGAGGGGAGGAAGGAATGCATGAGCTATTGCCTGCCCCCCTCCTTTTATTCTAGAGTTGCCGCCGCGTTTGCGAGTTCATGGCAGATTTGTGCTCATGAGATATGCGGTGAGAAGACTGCCGAGGGAGTTGGGGTGGACAACTTCTGGCGGCCTCTTGATCCGCTCTTGTCCTGGGACTGACTGCTGTGCTCGCCATGGTCCGTGTTGCTTTGTTGGATGGGACCCCTGATGTCACGACAGCATTGCACGTACGGATTGGCTCCGAAGTGAGCCCTCCTCGTCCTTTTTCCTTGCCCCCCCCTTTTCCCAATCCGAGAATAGGCCACTTATGTACAGGCCTTGATATCGCCGAGCCGAGCCGAGCCGAGGAGGAGGAGGAGGAGGAGGGAGGAGGAGGAAGGAAAGAAGGAAGGAAGGAGGGAGGGAACGCGGGGACCGTCTCTTCAAAACGCGGACCCAACAACACAGGTTGGTTGGGAACAATAAGTTCGCCAGAGTGGTTGCCCCCACAATAGGGGAGGGGGCGAGCAAGCCGACGGAGTGCGGACAATCCTGGGCTGTCGGGGGGGGCATGGGGGAGCCAGGGGGCCCACGAGGCCGCCAAAAGTTTGCGAACCCTACCCTTGAAGCATGAGATGCTTTGACCCCCTCCTCCTCGTCCTCCTCCTCGTCCTCCTCCTCCTCCTCCTCCTCATCCTCCTCCTCCTCCTCCTCCTCCTCCTCCCCGTCCTCCTCCTCCTCCTCCTCCTCCTCCTCATCCACCTCCACCTCCTCCTCCTCCTCCTCCTCCTCCTCCTCCTCCTCCTCCAAGTCGCCGCGGTCGTCCGCGAGGGTGATTGCGCCGACCAGAAGGACGAAAACGAAAATGAGGACGATCGACGACGACGAGGAGGACGAGGATGAGGATGAGGCCGAGGACGAGGACGAACGAGGAACACGACGACGAACGACGACGGCGACGGACGACGATGACGACGACGCACTGCGGGTGCCCTATGGGGGGGGATGATGGTGTGCTGCGTAGGCCCGCTGTAGTCGACGACGACGACGACGACGACGACGACGACGACGACGACGACTTCGACGACGACGACGACCGACCACAACGCCGACGACGACGAGGATGAGGACGAGGACGAGGACGAGAACGATGGACAACGACGGCGACGACGCACTGCGGATGCCCTATTTGGGGGGGGGCTGCGTAGGCCCGCTGTAGTCGACGACGGCGACGACGACGACGGGACGAGGATGAGGACGAGGACGAGGACGAGGGCGGGGAGGACGGCGGCGGACGGCGGCGGCGACGAAGGTGACGCACTGCGGATGCCCTATTGGGAGGGGGCGTGTGGCTGCGTAGGCCCGCCGCAGGCGACGACGACGACGACGAGGACGAGGATGGGGACGAGGACGAGAACGAGGACGACGACGACGGACGACGACGGCGACAACGCACTGCGGATGCCCTATGGGAGGTGGTGCTGTGTAGGCCCGCTGGAGTCGACGACGACGACGACGGCAGACAAATTACCGGAAGGGGGGCAGGCGAATACAAAATCAGTTCTGGTGGCTGGATTTTATGAATATGCCGAACTCATTTTTTTGCGGCCCTTGGGGGGGGGTATTTCTCCATCGCTTGCTCCCATTATTGTGAATCGTATGCGCGAAAGGAGCATCAGCTTATTTAGCATGATCCGTCCAATTGTCATCTGGTAAACCATTCGCTTCCATCGGAAAGAAGATGGTTCGTCTGGCTTCGCATGCGAAGCCGTGTGATATCATCTGGTGAATCATACGTCACCGTGCGGTAGACCATGAGGTTTCACATGGTCAGCCACGTGGTCCCACATGGTGGTACATATGGTCGAATATTGGAGATCAGACGGACTGCACATCATACACCCGTGCGGACTCGCACGACACATCAAACGGCTTCATATACTAGCCGTAAGATGTCATGTGCCATATGACCACACAGGTGGTTCCGCGAAGCACACCACTTGCTCACATGACAAAGCGTATGATTCAAGTGTGTTGCACGAGAGCGCACAACAGACCTCCATTGAAACTCCCTCACCACCTTAAGGGGTGGGTAAGGGAAGAACGGTGTAGTGGTCGTAAAGAGTCATAATATTAGGTCGGGCATGTCCCCCCACAGGCCAAGATTGGACGAAAAATAAGAAATAGTCACGAAATATTCCAAACTGATGAAAAATAGTCGAAACATGGTCCCCAGACTATTTTTGACCATTTTTGAAGATTCCTCCTGTAGAGGGACTCGCACGACTAAATCATAATGGCAAAGAGGAGGAAGACAGAGACCACGAACCAGTTGAGGATCGGCAGGGGCAGGCAGGCAAAGGAAAGGGAAACTCCACCTGGCGAATGCACCAAGAGAGTTCCGCGTCAGAGAGCCGGGAACTTCAACTCCTCGTCCGTGTGCGAGCGGACCATCAACTTCCGCGCGTCCAGAATCCGTGGGGAACTCCCAATCCTCAGAGGGGGGGGGAAAGGGAGGAGGGAAGATGGGGAGCCTCGTCGGAGGATGAGGGGGGGGTGGTAAGTAGGGGAACGAACGGTGAGATTAAAATGAAAACTCGGAGGTCCGCGCAGATTTCTCGGATCGGCGCTGGGCCCCCAACCCCTGTCGCGCGGAGCGCGCCAGGCGGCGCGCAAGGGGCCCGGCGCCGGAGGCCGCACGGACCCGCAGATGTGTTTTGTTAGTGTTTAGGTCATTGCTCGTTCCCCGAAAGGGTTAGGTCGGGCCTGTCCCCCTACAGGGGGATGTTGGTCGAAAAACAAACGAATACTCGAAAAATGCCCCCCAAATGGGCATACATAGTAACAAAATCGTTCCCATATCATTTTTTTACTATTTTGAATATTCCCCCTGTAGAGGGACAGACCCGACATAACAAAAGAGGGGGGGGTCCAGACTCAGCTCGCGCAGCCGGTTCTCACGACGGGCCCTGCAGCGGGCGCCCATGCAGCTCGGGGGCGTCTAAGAGAGGGCGTCCGAGAAGGGGGGGGGTTCAAATCATGGCCCGAGGCACGTGCGCGGACTAAGGGGGGCCCAGGGAACGCATCGGAGTAAGAATAGGGAAACAGCAAATGGCATAATCATGAAAACTCGGAGGTCGGCGCGGATTCGCGCGTCCCCTAAAGAAGAGGCGCCACGACATCTGGGGAGATATCATGGCCCCCGCCATGCTATCCCCCCATTTTAGTCTTGTGGATGCCATGACAATGGACACCCTAACAGTCCTATCGTTGAATTTAAAAAGTGATTCCAATGTCGGAAAAATGTTCTAAACATGTTTTAAACATGGTTTGCACATGTTCAAAACATGCTTAACGCATGTTTTAGACATCTGTAAATTGTTTGGCCACATGCTTCCTCTCCATTGATCGACCTCCACAACTTTAGTCATCACCCCCCGCTTAGCCGCTCCCGAGCATCGAGGAGGGCACACGGCGGCGGGGCCGAAGCCAGCTGCGGGCCGCTGCTTCCGCACAGCCTCCCGTCGCCCCATCCCTGATCCTCAGAACGCGTGCTGGCCCCAACGTGTGTCTGTCCATCGAGGCTCTGCGATACGGCGCAGGCGATGGAATGGTCTACTTGTTGGGCTGAAGGGGGTAACACACACATGAAGGGGCCCTGGGACACGCACATAAATACATACAAATAACAGGATCCCCCATATTTTCCAATATTTTGTGTTTTTTGTCTTCCCCCTCACTTCCCATATTTTCCCATATTTTCCGGGGGATCGACGATGAATTGTGTCTGTGTGCTTTTTGCCTCCTGACACATTGGTCCTGAGGATCATCAGCCCAATCCCCCCCTCGCTCGCCTGCCCCGAGGCGAGGGGAGGAGGGAGGGAGCAGGGGAGGCGGGAGCCGGGAGCAGGAGGAGAGAACGAGGAAGAAGGAGGCGGGGAGGGGGGAAGAGGGGAGGACAGAGGGAGGAAGGAGGCAGGCGCCAGGAGCAGGAGGACACGGCGAGGAAAGAGGAGGCGGGGAGGAGGGAAGAGGGGAGGACAGAGGGAGGAAGGAGGCAGGCGCCAGGAGCAGGAGGAAAGGGCGAGGAAAGAGGAGGCGGGGAGGGGGGAAGAGGGAGGACAGAGGGAGGAAGGAGGCAGGCGCCAGGAGCAGGAGGACACGGCGAGGAAAGAGGAGGCGGGGAGGAGGGCAGAGGGAGGCCAGAGGGAGGAAGGAGGCAGGCGCCAGGAGCAGGAGGAAAGGGCGAGGAAAGAGGAGGCGAGGAGGAGGGAAGAGGGAGGCCAGAGGGAGGAAGGAGGCAAACGCCAGGAGCAGGAGGAAAGGGCGAGGAAAGAGGAGGCGGGGAGGAGGGAAGAGGGAGGCCAGAGGAGGAAGGAGGCAGGCGCCACGAGAAAAGAAGAGAGGGCCTCGGGGACTCGAGGATGGTCTCCAGCAGGTGGCCGGAGCGGCCGCCCATGGGATCTTTCCTGCGAGGCGGGTCGGACAGGGGGTGGTGCAAAATCACAAACAACTTGCGACCAAGTGTGCATCAAGCTTGTCTAAGAATGCTCCTAACGTCTAGGGGCCGGACTGCAGGTGCTGCCAAAACTCAGCTCGAGGTAATGATTCTGGCAGTGCGGGCACAATCCTTGCGTCCTGCTGCGTCTTTGCGCTATCAAAACTCAACGCCTGGTATTTCTTTCGGTCGCTGGGTGCAGCCGTTACAGCCAAGCATGTCTCCATATCGCCAGGACTCCACGCAAAAGGCTGAATATGAGGATCCGAACGCAGACCTTGTCCCGGACACGGCCTTCACCAGCGGAGCCACTTGTTCATAGAATCTTTGGAGTCCCGAAACGGTGCGGTGACAGACCGTGCGGTGACCTCGAAACCCCAAGACCTCACCGCACGGTCCGTCACCGCACGGTCTTGGGACCCTGGAGGCCCCTGTCGCCCGAGACATCCTCGGAGAAAGACTCGAGTCCCAAAACCGTGCGGTGACCCCGAATCCCCACCGACTCACCGCACGGTGTGGTCACCACACCGTTTGGGGGCCCCCGAGAATCGTGCACTTCCTACTGGCAAGACTCCCTCCCCGGGGCTGATTTGAGTGCCCCGCGCCAGCTGTCCAGAATTTGGTGCCCCATATGTTGCCAGAACTCAACTCACGGGTCTGATGTTGAGATCTGGACCCGACCCTCCAGCGTGTGGTACTCTTCAGCTCCGACCCCAACTCAACCTCCACCTTCACCCCAGTTCCATCCCCCGCTACATTTCCAGCTTAAGCTCCAGTTCCAGCTCCAATCCAGACCCAGCTCCACATCCAGACCCAGCTCCAGCCCAACTCCCGCGTCAGCTCAGCTGCACCTCCACCCAAACCTCCAGCTCCCGCCACAGCCCCATCTCCAGCATCGCTCCAGCTCTCAATCCCCGACACCTCCAGCTCCACCCCCATAGACGCACGTCCAGCTCCAGCTCAGCCCCAGCTCCAGCCCAGCTTCGGCTACACCCCCCAGCTCAAGCTTCGCTCCAGCTCCAGGCCCAGGCCCAGCCCCAGCTTCGCTCCAAGTCCAGCCCAACTCCAGCTCCACCCACAGCTCTGGCCGACACTCCTGCCTCGATCCAGCTCAAGCTCAGCTTCAAGTGCAGACCAGCTGAGCTGCAGCCCAGCTCCATCTCCAGTTACCAGCTCCAGCAAAACCCCAGCCCCAGCCCCAGATCCAGATCAAACTCCAGATCGGGTTCGGCGGCTTCCGTTAACTCGCTGTTTCCCAGAGCTGCGCTGGCTGGCACTCGAAAGGTTGTTGGATTAGTTTCAACAACCATGGCTAGGCAAAGCCGAGAATGCGACGCAACTCGGCACGGCCATCCGATGTGTCATGCAAAAAAAACGTTATTGATTGATTGATTGTTGCAACGCGTTTGGCTGACTGCTTTGACTGGATCAAGGCAGCATTTGGCGCACCACCATAACTTTGCAAGTGCTCCTCTGAGTGCGCGCCACCAAAATGCACGGCCCAATCACTGACTGAACAAAGTTTCCAGGAGCTCAGGAAAGCCCGGGGGGGTCTTCCGCGTGGGGTGTCCAGGGGACCGTCAGGGCCACCGATCCAGGGTGTACAATATTTTGGGGGGTCGACCCCCCCAGCTTTTAAACATATAGAGAAGGGAATGAATACATGCATGCATGCGTGCGTACATCTATATGTATGCGTATATGTATGTATGTATGCATGTCTGTCTGCCTGTCGGTCTGTCTGTCTGTCTGTCTGTCTGTCTGTCTGTCTGTCTGTCTGTCTGTCTGTCTGTCTGTGTGTCTGTCTGTATGTCTGTCTGTATGTATGTATGTATGCATGCATGCATGTATGTATGGATGTATACATGTATGTATGTATGTATGCATGCATGCATGCATGTATGTATGTATGTATGTATGTATGCATGTATGTATGTACATATACATGTATGTGTGCATGCATACATGTATGCATGTATGTATGTATGTATGCATGCATGCATGTATGTATGTATGTGTGTGTATGTGTGTGTATGTATGTATGTATGTATGTATGTATGTATGTATGTATGTATGTATGTATGTATGTGTGTGTATGTATGTATGTATGTATGTATGCATGTATGTATGTATGTATGTGTATATGCATGCATGCATGTATTTATGTATGTATGCATACATGCATGTATGTAAACATGTATGTACGTGTGTGCGTATGCATGTATGCATGCATGTATGCATGTATGTGTGTATGCATGCATGCACGTATGTATGTATGTATGTATGTATGCATGTATGTATGTATGAAGCAATGAATGAAGGTATGTATGCATGTATGCATGTAATACGTATGTTTGTGTACATACTCACATACGCACAGTAGAACCATCGCGCGCGCTCAAGTTCTAGCTAAGCTGGCTGGTCAAACTCTTAAGGGCCTCTACTTTACGATACGTCTCCCCCGGGGCTTCCGAGATTCACGAGGACGTCCCAAGTGGCTTCCAAGACTTCCTGCGGTCCACACGCGGCGGCCCAGGACAGGCCCAAGTGTGGCACTCTGGAGGCCCTTCTCTTCGCCGCGGCTGGACGTAGCCAGAAGACGCAGAGGAGGATGAGGATGAAGAGGAAGATGAGGATGAGGAAGATAAGAGAAGGAAAGGAGGGGGAGGAGGAGGAGGAGGAGGAGGAGGAGGAGGAGGAGGAGGAGCAGCAGCATCAGCAGGAGCAGGAGCAGCAGCAGGACTAAACAATCAAGGGGAGGACGCAGGGAGGAAGTGGGCATGCCGTTGGCCGCAACGGCGGAATGTCTCAGGCGAAACGGGCCAGAACACCTCAATTCAGGGCATCTCGAAGCCTGGGATTCCGAGGATGTCTCAGGCAAAACAAGCCAAAGTACCTCGCGAACCACATCTTGGAATCCAGAATTGTGAGGACGGCTCAAGCGCGACACGCCAGAGCACATCAAGTCAGGGCACCTCGGAGCCCGAGGTTCCGAGGGTGGCTCTCTACGGGCCATGGGGCGCACCCAGCTATTTTGAGGGCAACCCCTCCTGGGCACCTCCCTGGGCACCGTTGGGGTTGGGGGGCGACCTGGGCACCAGGGCTGAGGTGCACTGCCCCACCCCCCCAGCCAAGGCAAGCCCTGGATGGGGCTCAAAACAGCCCCAAAAGCCAACCGAAGTGGCCAGCGAAAACCATAATTACTGCTCCGAAACACACCTCCACCCTGTAAAACTAACGGACCGTTCGAGACATCCCCACAATCTGGGCGCGAACAGGTCCGTGACACACCCTTCGTCGGCAGAGCACCGGCCCGCATCACCAGGCACGATCGAGCCACGTCCAGCCCTGCTGGACCCTCTCGCACGCGGCATCTCTTCGCCCATAATCGCGGGGACGTCTCAGTCGAAGCAGACAAGATCACCTCGTGGGCGGCACCTTGAAGCCTAGTGTAGCGAGGGTGTCTCAAGCGACACGGACGAGGCAACCTCAGGTCACGGTATCACAACCCCAAAATGTCTGAGGATGTTTCAGGCGATATGGGCCAGACCACCTCGCGCGTAGCGTCTGGAAGCCCAGAGTTGCGAGGATGTCTCGAGCGAAACGGGCCAGGCCATGTCAAATCTGGTCGTCGCGGAACGCAGACCTGTGAGGATGTCTCATGCGGAACAGGCCGAACCACCTCAACATGTTGCCACTTTCTCGACGCGCAGGCCCATCGGGCGGCAACCTTTCTTACCGGCAACGCCCCCCGGCACCGCCCGGGCGACCCGTGAATACTCCAAGACAAAACCTATTGAACGGAAACAAGCGAGAAGCTCCCAGATGTATGTTATATATAATATATAATGATGCGGGGCCCGTCCTAGTACAGACCATCGCCGAGCGAGGCAATATTTTCGGCTCGCAGATGGTGCCCGCCTTCATCTCGCCGGCGTCGCCGTTGGGCTTCACTTCCTGCCGGCGGCACTTGGGGTCTGGTAAGAAGGCGCGAGTCTGGAGCCGAGCTGGACGGCCCCCGTTGGCCGACCGACTTCTGAAAGGTATCCTCCTCCTCCTCCTCGTCCTCCTCCTCCTCCTCCTCCAACTCCTCCTCCTCCTCCTCCTCCTCCTCCTCCTCCTCCAACTCCTCCCTCCTCCATCCCGTGCACCCTCGCTCCCTTTCTCGCATCGTCCCGCCTTCCTCGTCGTCGCTCCTCCTCCCTCCTACCTCCTCACTCAATCTTCTCGCCACTCTTTCCCTCTCCCTTCTCCTGCCTCCATCCTTCTCGACACAGTCGGACCTAGGCCAGAATAACATCCCTCAAGAACATGAGACCCTCCGACGGCCAAAAGAAACATAACATCCAAGGGTACCCTCACCAGGGTGCAATAGAGCATCCCACAAACACGATTAACATGAGGGTACCCTCCCCGAACCGACATCGATCTTATACCTCGGTCCGACTGCACTCCCACCATCCTTGGTCCCACCTCCCTCCTCCATCCTTCTCCCATCTCCCTCCGCCCACGTCGCTTCTCCTTCCCTCCTCGATTCTCCCTCCTCCCTCCTCCCTTCCCGTTCCTGCTTCCTCCATCCCTCCAGCTTCCCAACTCTCGCCTCCCACATCCCTCCTGCCTCCTGTCCTCCCTCCGACCACATCCTTCCTCCGCCCCCCCCCCTCTCTGCTAACCCTCCTTCCCTGCCGCCACCCTCATTCTCTCCCTCTGCCTCCTGCCTCAACCCTCCCCCTCCCTCCTTCTCACTTCCTTCGGTCTGTCGGATCGTCCCTCCTCCTTCCCCTCCCGTCCGGACTCCCACTCGTCTGGCCGCGGTCTCTGGAGCCGTGCCAGCGCCATCAACGGCAGAAGTACTTATTCAGCCGCGAGCCCTTAACGCTCGCGGGTAAGGCTCGGCACTGTGCCCTTAGCAAACATAGATTCGTTGCTGACACGTGAGGTAGGACTAGTGAACATCGCTTAGCCAACCTCTATCCCCATGGACGTGGCCTGGGCCCCACTGGCCGATTCCTCCCCCGCCCAGATGGAGATATAGGCTGTTTCCATCGGGCTCCGAGGGGTACGTCCCAAACTGGGGTGGCAAAATGGTGGGGGTCTGAGGTGGGGGATAGAGGACGGCGGCGCGCACAAGGGAGGAGGAGGAGGAGGAGGAGGAGGAGGAAGAGGGAGAAGGAGGAGGAGGAGGAGGAGGGGGAAAATGAGGAGGAGGGGGAGGAGGAACGGGAGGAGGAGGAGGAGGAGGAGGAGGAGGAGGAGGAGGGGGAGGAGGAGGAGGAGGAAAGAGGAACGGAGGAGGAGGAGGAGGAGGAGGGGAGGGGGAGGAGGAGGACGATGAGGAGGAGGAGGACGAGGAGGAGGAGGAGGAGGAGGAGGAGGAGGAGGAGGAGGAGGTGGGGATGGGGATGGGGGTCGGCTAAACGGTCCTGAGCTAGAGGTATACAGATGGTGCACATCTCGCTCGCGGCGGCCGTCCCATCGGCTGCCGCAGGTCTGCCTCCACGAGCCGTGCGGACGCCGTTGCGTGTGGCAGGTGAGCCCCCACGATGCCATGTGAGCGTTTTCTTATTCAGCGTTGGGCGAAGGGAAGGGAGGGGGGAGGTCTGGCTCCAGACCTCTGCTTAATGCGACTGTTTGCACCAGTGCATCCTATGGGGGAGGCCCCACCTGCGTGAAACAGGCGCCACATACAGCCAAGAACTACTCCACAGGGGGGGTGGGGCGAGGGCCCGCGCCGATGGGCTAAACGATGAATAAGACAACGATCACCATGTGGCTTGAGATTTCGAGCCAAGCTGATCGTGGCGTCCTTCCAGACGATGCCCAGTGCTATCTGTTGCTGGAGACCTGCGGGAGTCTGCCTTTGCGGCGCCTCCTCAAACTCCCACCTCTGGAAGCAACTGCCATCGCCGCGCAACCCCGAAGTTGAACAGCTGTCCTCGGCCTCCGACATTTCAGCGGACGGCGTGACGACGATCTAGTCCGCGCTTCTACCCAGGACTTGAAACTCCCCCCCCAAATCGAACGCAGGGATCTACCAGGCCATCGCTCGGACATCACTTCCTCGTGAATGCTTCGGTATCACACGTTTTATTCAGCACGATGGCACGAAACGCTTCTCGACGGTTCCGTACGAGCAACAAAGACACACGTCCGAGCGATGTCAAACTGCAGTAACTGCAGGCCGTAAAGACCAATGCAATGATGTACCGAGGCGACCAGTTCTTCGACAAGCTGGGCCCTGGACTGGTGAGCTTGCCATCACGAGTGCCATCAACAAGCAACACCTCGGAACGTATTCCCTGTGTCATCCTTCATCATGGCTGGGCTACCCAATCCACCGTGCGCTTGTCACGCGCTGCTGCTCCACCGCGTCCTCCGCCTCCTCCTCCTGCTCCTCCCCCCCTCCTCCTCCTCCGCCTCCTCCTCCTCTTCCTCCTCCTCCTCCTCCTCCTCGTCCTCGTCGTCGTCGTCGTCTTCAGGGTTGGCGTCACTGGCCGTAAAGCCTTCACAACATTCGGTGTATCATCAGCCATCAAGGCTGGGCTACCCAATCCACCGTGCACTTGCCACACTTATTTCAGAAGCCTTGTCATTACTCAGCATAGCATAGGATGGGATGGCAAAGCAGCTAACGAACTCCATTGGCTTATGCCCGCTCATGGCTGTCGTGGGTCCCACCAGCGCCAGTAAGGAAGCCTTGCCGACTTTCGCGGCCATGCCCATGCCTGCTCAATATGCTCGGGGAAATAAAAAATAATTCTACGTCCGGAACTTCCGCCTCAACAAGAGCTGTTTGCACCACAGTCGGCTGTCCGCCCTTGAAACTTCCATACGCGCCAAGGATCACTGCGTAGACTTCGTGGAACACGCTGGCAAGAGAGATGTCTGTAGTTCCACCATGTCGTGGGCTGGCCTTCGTCACTTTGGCCGGATGCAAACTCAAGAGTAAATCTGAATTCCCAACGTTCGTGCATGATTGCCGTAAGCAGTTTTGCACCATCGCTGTCACTTTGTCCCATCCAGTGCTTGCACTGAAGGAGCCTTGCTTGAACTTTACGTAATCCGACCAGTCCTCTGGGCGTAAGTGGTCTAGAGCACTTCCTGTTCCAACCCCTTCCTTGCCCTTCGGGGACGGGTTTGCCCCTCCCCTTTGCCCCCTCCCGTGGACATGGACGGGGGTGGTCGCGAAGGGTTGGAGTCCAGTTGGAGCGTCCAAGGTGGCCTTCACGGCTCCAAGAGCGCTTCAGAGAGCCCACGATGACCTTCCAAGACAGCTCCAGGTAGCCACGGAGCCTCCACAGGCCGCCGCGACGAGGCCAACATCCTTCCAACACCTGAGGAAAACAGTGTTTGTTGCTTTCTCGCCCGTTCGCTTCCCATGGCCTTCCGAGGCCGCAGCATGGCCCCAAAATGGCCCAAGATGGGCCCAAGAAACCTCCAACACGGTCCAAAGAGCACCCAAGAGCGCTGCAAGAGCGCTCCACAAGGCGGTTATTTGGGCTCCCGAAGAGGGGGGGGGGGGGGGCAGAATTGAAGCGCACCTTTTTGATTGATGTATTCCAAAATGGCTCCAACTGCGCCCTTAAAGGTTCCAATACCGCCCAAAGAGTGCCCCAAGAAGCGCCCAGACGGCCCCAAGAGGCGCCCAATGGGCCTCAAAGAGGCTTTCAAGAGACCCCCAAGAAGCTTCAGGAGAACACCTGAGGCACCCAAGACGCTCAAAGACTGCCCAGGCCCGCCAAGATGCCCCCCCAGACGCCCCAAAAGGCTTCCAACAACCTTCCAAGCGACAGCCGAGGAGACTCCGAGAGGCATTCAAGAGGCGTATGGCTCTTCTGTTCGCCCTTTTCCTCGTCCTCCTCCCCCTCTTCCTCCTCCACCTCCTCTTCCTCCTCCTCCTCGTCCTCATCCTCGTCATTACCATTATCACCAGCATCTTTAATTTTATCACCACGATTGCATTACATTATCATCATTATCACGATCATCATCATAGTCATACTCATAATAATATATATATATATATATATATATATATATATATATATCATCACCATCACCAGTACCATCATCACCAGCTTCAGCTTCATCATCATCAGTTTCATCCTCATCATCATCAGCACCATCATCGTCATAATCAGCAATATACGCCTCCTCCTCCTTCTCCTCACTCCTCCTCCTCCTCTCCCTCCTCCTCCTCATCCGTCTTCTCCTCCTCCGCATCATCATCATCCTCTCTCATGCGTCCTCCCCCTCCCCCCCTCCTCCTCCTCCTCCTCCTCCTCCTCCTCCTCTCCTCTTCCTCCTCCTCCTCCCCTTCTCCTCCTCCTCCTCCTCCTCCTCCTCCTCCTCCTCCTCCCTCGAAAGATAAAGCCCTAAGTTTGCTCCTGCGCTTCCATGATTGTCTCAATTCGTGCGGGCGTCGTTGTTTGTTCTCTGCACGCGCTCGATCGTATCACGGTGACAAGAGATCCCGCGCCTGGGCCCAGGCGTGGAATCGCCCGGGCGTCGGTTTTGGATAGGTTGGTGGGGGTACTTTTTCGTTCGCGAGCGCGGAGGAATGCCAGGCGCCGTCAAGAAACGCGGCTAGCGAGCATCGGACTAAATTTCGCACAAGAGCGCGCGGGAGTGAGCTACGCTGCGGCCCAAGAGACGCGGTGGACCAGGCGGAGTCACTGGTCGAGGTGCAGCACCCAAATGGCGAAATTCATGACGTCCACGAACACGAGGACGACGATCGGGCGCGCAGGCGCTCAACGGAAGAGTTCCGGATCGCCGAGAGGGGGAGCGTGCCAGCGGCGGAAGCGCCGCCACGGCGGGGGCACAGGAGAAACGGCGCCAGGGCAACACAACGGCAGCGAAGGCGACGAGCCATCGGAGAAGGCCACGCCCAGAACTGGAAGCGGCGGCGCCCAAGCCAGGGGTGCAGGACGACCCTGGGGGAAGCGGCGTGGGGG